TTTCCACTCCTTATAAGCAATGGAACTTCAGGAGAATTTGACTAAGAAGAAAACAAATAAGAAGCTATACTGTTTTTAAAAAGAAACTAAGCTGAATCAAGAGGTTGACATCTTCCAACTTTATAAGACTTCCTACTCATGAGGAAGATTAGTGAAATGAGTGTAAAAACCGGTGTGCTCATCGAGGATATGATTATGTTGGACTTTGCTTTGCCTGTGTCTGAATTATCTAACCATATTTTAAGATTAATAGCTTCACAAATTGATGCTCATAGAATTATTAAGTGTGTCATTGTTAATTTTACCACAGTGGTTTTTGGTATCTGCACACTGTGAGCCCTACTCTGGCTTTTTTGAGCCTCCAGGTGGGGCCTGGAGATAGGTGTATATTTTTTTAAAAAATGATACGTGAAAAGTCTTGAGTATTTCCTGTATACGCAACATATTGATTAGAGTATTTGTATGACTTGTCTCTTTTCCAAAAAGAAATACAGTGAAGCTTTTCTAATGAATCCCATCAAGTTCGCTCCCAGGCTTGGTGGTTTGACCAAACCTACCTACCGGTAGTTTCTGATTCTCAGGTTTAACAGGCAATCCTGCAGCATTTCTCTCCGTCTTCTGTTTTCCAGATAATTTCACTAACCCGGAAAAACCACTGCAGCTATTTTGTTGATATGTGGACACTTTTCCTACCAAATCAAACTTCTTTGCATCAGTGTTTGTCTCTTATAGTTACTGTTTATGGCCTGCTCATAGCCTGAGGACTTCTCTTAATATACTTTTTGACTTTCTACTTGTCTTATGTGCTTTTATGCACCATCTTATTTTTATTGACTTACCTTGGTTCTATTGTTGTTGTTCAGTCGCATAGTCGAGTCCAACTCTTCACAACCCCATGGACCACATCACGCCAGGCCCTCTTGTCCTCTGTCGTCCTCTGGAGTTTGCTGAACTTCATGTTCGTTGCATCTGGTTTTATTGACCTTTATTTATTTTAGTAGCTTATTTTACTGGCATGATTTTTTAAATCCTTTTTATTTTTTTAGGTTGGTTTTGTTTTATTGTCCTAATTGTGAGCTTTCTCAAGCAGGTGTGGATAGGAAGCATGCACATTTTCTGAAAAAATGTTTACTTGCAGCAATATGTGAATATGAAAACTTATTCCTTAACTGGAGATCACATTTTTCAGGCGCAGTTTCTCAGCTTCCTTTTTTTTCTGGTGTGGTGGGGCTTCTCTATTATTTCTACAAAATATTCAGAACTGATCCTGGATATATTAAGACTACAGAAGAAGAGAGAAAAAAGGTATTTTGGTTCAAAAAGGACTTCTGCCACGTTTTCGCTATAATTTTTGTTTGAGTTGAGGACGGCTGACAGTGACCAATTCTGAGGATATTGGTGATAATTTCAGTTTAATAATTAACAATATCATTAAATGTTTGCTTGTTACCGAAACCTGGGAAAGGTATTGAGAGAGTAGCAAGGAACAGTCATCACTACAAGAAAATGAGGATTTGTTCCTTGTGACTGTCACTTAATAAGGTCAAGTTAGAGGGTCTAGGGGCATCACCTACTGAAGGAAGTGAAAACAAAGTACAAAAATGTATATCAAAAGTAGGGGTGTATTGTAAACTGCAAATTGAAAACACTACCTCAACCCACAATATAAAAGAAGTATAATAAGCATACCATTATGAATGGTATTCCATGTATCACTAACCTGGTGTGTATAAATATGCATAAAAATTGATAGTATAAATGTGTGAATACATCAGAAAGGAGTTAAAACACATAACAGATTCAACAGATTGTCAATCTGTTTCGAGTACATCTTCATCAGACAGTTTCTGTTTTACCCTGTTTTTTCAGTTTTAAAACAGCTACCAATTCAAAGTAAGGATAAAAGATCTCTCACCTATTCTGTATAGGATGCAAAATAACGTCAACTGGTGAATTGGTGTCTTTTACACTAGAAACAATCTGAATAAATAGAACAATACAGAAATGGTCTGATGAAGATTCACTTGAAATGGAGTTAGGCTGGCAATCCATCAATTTGCTGTTGTTTTTAATGTAACATTTTAGACTTATTACAAATCAATAAATTTATAAATATCCACAAAACAACAAATGAAATTATACAAAATAAATCAACTAACAGAAGATTATAAATGGAATATCAGAGTAACACATAATTCAAATGCAGTACCTTTAGAGGAGAAATGATACCACAATTCAGTTATTATAACTTATGTATATTGCAAATATTATTATATTATATTATTATACTAAATTTAAAGATTTTAAGTTTTTTAGAACCACTTCAAGCTCCAACAAATAATCCAATATCGTGAACCACTCTTCAACAAGTCAGAACAAGGAGGGTGGGAATCATACTGATTGACCTGATAAGTAATTTTTTCCATTATATACATAATAATGAAAGTGTAGGTGCATCAGGACATTTCCAGGTAGTGGCTATAGATAATTTTGCAATGATCCAATGGTTAACAGCTGTGTTATCTGGATGGGCGGCTGGAGGATGTGACTGCTCATTAATCCGATCATGGAGGAAGGTCATTTGTTTAGGTTGAAGCTGAGTATGTGCTTCACCTGGTGATGTTAATATGCAGAGGTGGGGGTGGAGGAAAAGATGCCTGCATGATGGAGAAGAACCCTTTCCATGGCATCTGTGCAAGAATGTCCTGGTCCTTTCACAGATCAAGGCTTTTCTTTAGTGAACTGCTGCTGGTCCTGTGTGTTTGCGGAGTCAGGGAGGCTCTCCCTGACTACCTTTGGCTTGCAAGTTGTCTGTACTTTGTATAAATGAAAAGCCATGCTCAGTAAATTGTTAACTCAGTGCCCACACAGTTACAATGTAAAAAAGATATGAGATAAAACAATATTGGAACAGGAGGTTCATCAGATAGTATGATGAATATGACAAGAGAGGAAGGATGGGAAAAGCTAAGAGCAAGAGGAAGAAAGACATGCTTTGAAGAGCTGCACATCCTTACTAACCTCAGGTGGTTTATTCACAGATCTCATGTCTGCTCTGCCTGGGGCCAATGTGCGGCTACTGTCCTGGGCGTGTGACTATTTTGTATATTCTTATAATAAACACAATGAACATGTGGTCTGTTTAGATTAAAATATTTGTGCTCGCTTTGGCAGCACATATATTAAAATACTAAAGTGATTAGAATATTTTTTAAACTGGCGAAAACTCCACCCCATCTCATTCATCACTGTTTTATTTCAAAAGAAAGATAACAGATGAGTACTAGGGGTGTGCAAAAAAAGAAAGTATTTTTTGGCTTTGGGTAAATCAGACCCAAAAAATATTGGTAAATGCTGAATTTCCCCAGTCCATTACCAGTGAAGTATTCAGATTGGGGAAATATTCGGTATTGCCAAAAATATTCAGGTCTGGTATACCCCACCAGAGGGAAAGGAGACATGTTAAAATGCCTTCTTTCCCTCTGGTAGCCCCTGCAGATTTTCTTGTAAATTTTACTCCCCACCAGTTAGCTGTTAGGGAAATTGAAAAGGGAAAGCCAGGGGTTGGCCGGGGAAGCAAAGAAGCAGGCATGAAAACTAGTTCCTTCCCTCCCTGAGCCTCTCAGCTGCTGCAAAGAAACTCAGAGAGGGGAGGGAAAGTCAGAGGAAACATGTTTAAATGCCTTTGTTTCCCTCCCTGATCTTGGGGAGGGAAATAAAGGCATTTAAACATGCCCCCCACTTGCCCTCCCCTCCCTGAGTTTCTCCGCAGTGGTGGAGAGGCTCAGAGAGGAAAGGAGGCATGGAAACATGCCTGCCCTTCTCCAGCCAACCTGCCGTGACTGGCTGGCTGGGAAAGTGAAAGGCAGGCATGGAAACATGCCCGGGTTCCCTGCCTGCTCTTTTCCAGGTGCCCGCAGCCATGGGGCACTTGGACAAGTTCAGGCAGGGCTCAGGTGTGTTTAAAATGCCTTTCTTTCCCTCCCCAATCTTGGAGAGGGAAAGAAGGCATTTAAACATGCCCCCCTTTCCCTCCCCTCCCTGAGTTTCTCCGCAGCAGTGGAGAGGCTTAGAGAGGGAAGGAGGCATATTTCCATGCCTGCCCTTCCCTTCCCCAGCCAACCCGCCATGGTGGGCTGGCCGGGGAAGCAAAGGGCAGGCATGGAAACATGCCTCTCTCTCCCGGAGGGAAGGGAGGGGAAAAAAGGCATTTAAACCCAACAGCTGACTGGTAGGTAAAGGCTGTTAGGTTTAACTGACTTCTTGTATTCGGTATAGCAGAATGAACTTGGAAAAAAGGTGGATAATATCGGCTTTTTCAGGTTTAGCTCTACCGGTATAGCTTATGTGATACCCAAAAAATATTTTTCAGGTATTTTTTCAGTTCAGCTATTTCCAAATGCACACCCCTAGCTAGTGCATGAGGTTTTCATGATACCAAGAATCTTCAATCTACAAAAAGTTACTGTTATTGTTACTCCTTTAGCTATGAGATATAACAATGATTACAATCTCCTTTTGTCTTTCAGAACATTATTACCCTTGCAGAATCTGGCTCCTTGGATTTCAGAACATTTTGCACATCCTGTCTTGTAAGTCAGGCTGTAATGCTTAATTGTATTTATTTCATTGTTCATTTTCACATGTATATGCACAGGCTTGAATTCAGGAACTTCCTAGAAGTTGGGCGGATGCTCTTGACTAGGGATGGGTACAACCCCCGTCACAAACATATTTGTGATGAAAATCTCCAGGTTGTGGTTTGTGAATCGAGTTTTGTGTCCATCCCTATCCATGACCCTCCAAAGTTTTGTGTCCATCCCTATCCACGACCCTCCACATGTTCTTTGGAGGTTCATAGGGCTCGTGGTGGGAAGCGGGAGGGGGAGCAAGAGGGATCGCTGAAATGGCTTGCATCTATTTCAGCCTAACAGTTAATGTGTGCACCAGCCCTGCTGTTAGGCTGAAATAGATGCAAGCCCCCCGCTTGGAAGAGACCTCCCCACCGCACACAGATCCTGGGAGGGCAGCTTCTCCTGCCTGGCACTTTAAGGCAGGAGAAGCCTTCCAGCCAGTTGTGCATGCAGCAGCGAGAGACACCCCCCCAGCCGCCACAAGCAGTTCCTGGGGACAGCTTTACAAATCTCACAAAAAGGCTCATGAAGGCACCAAGTCTCTGAATCGCAGAGCCAAGAGGCAACATCAGGGGAAGGCCTCAGCCTCTATGCCCTGTTGTTGGTCATCCAGAGGAACTGGTTGGCCATTGTGTGAGACAGGATGCTGGACTAGATGGACTATTGGTCTGATCCAGCAGGGCTCTTCTTATGTTTTTAAGTACAGGCTGATGAGGGTCTTTCCTGTTCAGTTACTTCCTGACAGTCACTGCAACTGATATTGAAGAATTGGTCATTCTGTGCAGCAAGAAAAGCGGGCAGAATGTGACTGCGTAGAGAACAATTACAGATTGGCAGTTCTGTTTTATTGAAGCCAGTTTGACTGTTACTTGGAGGATTTATGAGACTTATTTAAAACATTTTTATGTTGCCTTTCCACCCAAATGACCGAAGATGGGATGGTGGATCATAGTGGTGGAGGTGGATCATAGTGGTGGATGTTGTGTTTTGTGCATTTGGGTGTGTAACCAGTTCAGTTTATTATGTGTACCTAATAGATCAAGTTAAGCAATCGATATATGTATATTTTGAATGGACTATGTTTTAATTGTCTTTCTGGCATCCTTGATCAGGTGAAAAAACCGTTAAGATCCATGCATTGTCACAGTTGTGATTCATGTGTAGCTAGATATGACCAGCACTGTATTTGGATTGGGCGATGTATAGGTGAGTTGTTTTTTTTTTAATACAACAGGAACTCTGGGTTGTTTTGTGTTTTGATGCTGAGAATGCTTCTGAGGACAAAGGTCCTTAATTATGTAGCAAGCCTCTAGTGGTGAAGTGTGGCATGAAGGGTTGCTGACCAGCTCCGCAGGAAATTGTATCCTGATGAGCTCTGCATTCTATAATATAAGAGTAAAATAGCTTCACGACAAGATTGAACAGTTGGGATATTTTTAAAGATCTTGGCTTAAGATATTTAAGACTTACCTGTGCATGTTTTATTGAAGAATATGGGATTCATATACCCAAGTTATGCTAATCCATGATTATTTTTTTAACTGTAAGCAGTATTAGTTTGAATTTTGGTAATAATGCTAGGATGTTTTGGGCAAGCACTAATGGCTAAATCTTGCTCAGCTTTTCATATGTTTAGGAGAAAGAAAGAGAGATCTCTTCAATTAGTTGACTGTTTAGGGGCCTGGGTGGTGGGAAAGTATCTTGTGAATGGGATATAACCATATCACCTTTTTTTACTCTAGGTGTTGGCAACCACTGTTATTTTGTCCTGTTTCTCCTTTTCCTGACAATGGTGAATATCTGGGCTTTATATGGAACAGTTCTATGTATGTATGCCTGACTCTTATTTCTCCATGTAGTTTGCATAGAAACAGCTGTCTGTTGATCCTTAGTATTCTATATGTAGCTTTTAATCCAGACTATCACACAGTATCACGCTGCAGTGAAGATGATAGGAAAATTGGAGGCATAGGCTTGGGATATGAACAACCATAACAGAAGTGGAATAATAATTTCCACACTTCTGCATGAAATAATAATTTCCACACTTCTGGATGGGAATTGTACTGTTACTGGTACAAAAAGTAGATCCAGGTGGGGTACTCGTGTTGGTCTGAAGCAGCAGAGCAAAGTTTGAGTCCAGTGGCACCTTTCAGACCAACAAAGTTTTATTTTGGGTAGTTATACTGAAGAAGTGTGCATACACTCGAAAGCTTATTTGCAAAATAAAACTTTGTGCACCAGAACACTTTTTGTTCCAGAGCAAAGTTTGAGTCCAGTGGCACCTTTCAGACCAACAAAGTTTTATTCTTCAGAATAAAACTGAAGAAGTGTGCATGCACACAGAAGCTTCTACCCAGAATAAAACTTTGTTAGTCTTAAATGTGCCATTGGACTCGAAGTTTGTTTTGGTGCAAAACGTGTTACTACAGAAGAGTCAGTGGAATGAATGACTTTTGATTAGGGCAAGCTTTTTCCAACCAAGATATGGGGTGGGGGGAAAAATAGTGCTTTATTTTCCTGAAGATTTTTTTTTTGGTTTTGTAAAGATTCAGTGTTTCATAAAATTAATAACAAAGAATGAACAGCATTGCCAAGACAATATTAGACAGACTTGGTAATTTCAAAGTTACAATTCATGTTTTTCAGGTGATTCTCCCTGGGCATTGTATGAGAGAGTACACATATGTTTTATTAATTTATAAATTGGAGAATAGTACCACAAATATGTACAGTCCAAGAAAAAATTAAATTATGAATTGACCTGATGTGCATGACAAATCAAAACCAACACTAAAAATACTTATTTGTATGTCTCCTCTCACACAGTGGAAGACATATTGTAATATTCAAACCTTATTTAAAATAATAATAATAATTCCTTCTCTCAGACTGGTCAGAACACTGCACAGTAACATACCAGAAAGATGGAGCATGGACTTCCTTCACACAGATAGTGTCTTGTTCTCCATGGGTGTTATATATTTTCACACTTGTATCCTTTCATACTTCATGGGCTTCACTGCTGCTAGTCCTTCAGCTTTATCAGGTATTATTTTAACTGATTTAATGTATACTGTCTTAAAATGTTGCATTTCTTGATCCCTTCTCATCAGCCTACTTTTGTGTTGCCCATGCTTAACATTTCTGAATTGAACCAAAGTCTCATACATATCTAATCCATATTTCAAATCAATATGTACTGCTGAGGAGAATCTCTGCAAATCCAAAGGTTACTTAGATGACATTTGAGGTTTGAAAATGTTATGGCTTCCCTAAGGGTCTTGGCACCAGCAAAAGGGCCAATTTGTTGCCATCATGCCAGCGATGGGCACCCATGTCTAATGCCAATAGAGCTACAGCCAGTAATGAATGGATCCTTACTCTAATGTATCTGTGCAACACAGTTGTCCTACATAATTTGTGCAGCTCAGGGGAGTGTGCTTAGCTAGCTCAAGGCTCCTGCATTGGTGTTATCCCTCACGTTTACTTTCTAATAACACCACTTCTAAATTTAGGATATTTCTTTTGTTGCAGCGCAACAAACCTTTTTCTGAGCTCTTGCGAATAACTTCCCCCTTAAGGCTGGGTTGTCAGTTTAAGTCTGATATATAGCAAATGGTTGTTGTTAAGAAAACATTAGGGTCCTGATGGGAAGACATGGGAGGAAAATAGAACTGATGTCAGTATCTAAATATATGGGATGAATAATTTATCCTGCCCACTCGTGTGATTAGTGTTGGACTGAAAACCGTCCTGTAGCTCAGCTGTGCATCATTATTCTATGCTAAACCTTCTGTGACCTCTGGAGTTAGCTGACTGGGAACATTAAGCCTTTTATGAAAGCACTATTATAAGTAGAGAGAGTTAGTTTGACTACATAAATAGCCACTTCTGTGGCACTTTTCACTCAGGAAGCAAATATTAAAAATTTGGAAGTCTACTTTAGTTCTTGATAAGTTGCTAAATGTCATTTAGTCAAAGGCTTAGTTAGACTTAAGAATGTAAGAGTAGTATTTACAAGCCTTCCATTCTTGCTTGCATGTCTTTATTTGCTGGGCCTGATCAAGGGAGATGTACAATAAAGCAGGAACATATTTGGTCCAAGGCTGAAATCCAAATCCAGCAGCAGTAGTACATTTGGACACACCATGTATTGTAGTAAAGCTCAATAGCTACATGTGGATTCTCTCCTGTGCTCAATTTGTGAGGAGGTACAGCTAAAGCAGTTAAAAGTGAATGCGTAGTTGTTCCTGCCAGAATAGCATGGGTGTGGAAGGAGCAGGCAAGCCCAGAGATAAAAAGCTTGACGTGATGCTGATGGACAAACTGACAACTTGTGGCAGAGAAAATGTTGCTCTAAAGAAAACATGGTTCCCTTTGTACAAATCTGAAACCAAAATTATCTAACAGATGAAGTTGATAGAAGATTTGGAATATATGTAGTCTTCTTTTGGTGGTTGTTTTTAGTGATTAGTGTCTATGAGACTTCTTATTTTTAATGTATCTGAGATTTTAGTTACTTTATGTTGATAACCATGTAGTTATGAAGTCTGTGATAGTTATGTCAATAATGTGGCGATATATGGTGGTTGTATAATTGTATACAATATAGAAATCGAACAGAACAGGGAAACGTCAATAAGTCTGCTTAGGGAATTAACTTAGTGCTGATCTGGTCCTTAGTTTGACACCTCTGTCCAGTAACAGGATGATGCTGTGGTCCCTGCTATTACGCACCTTCCTCAGGTTTAACAACTAACTGTTTTGCACAGACTCTGTGGTACATTAGGAGGAGTCTCATAAGACAGATTGTTTCCAGGATTGCGCCTCTGACTTGGTTATTAATGGTTGACCAAGGTCTACAGATCAGGGCTGTTGTGACAGAATAGAAGAGGAAAGAGCTGCCCTGAGCTACTTGGAGGACCACAAGATTAAAATGGGATCAATCGACAATGACAGAGAGCTCAAGTTTCATAGTTAATCTCGCTTCTTTCCCAGTTTTTAATTGTACTAGTCACCTATTTAACAACGTCAGAAATTGCTGTATTTATAACTTATTTAAAATGCAAGGGGGAAAAATTGATGTGGAAACAGATGACATTTCAGGTGGGGCTTTTCTCTCAACACAGTTTATTGAATTGGCCTTCAAATGCCACTTTCCCTTTTTACTCTTCTAAGATTGCTTTCCTGGGATTGACCTCACATGAAAGGATTACCCTCTGGAGGCAGAGCAACCGTTCAAAGCATCCTGTTTCACTCAGGAAAACTCCATATAAGTGAGTAGCTTTGGGAGGGAAGTATTCTCTTTCAAAATTCACATTTCAATATCTGTTATGTCGTAGGAAAAAATCAGGTTTTTTTCTCCTGGCTGTTGTGTATACATATGCAGTTGGCGTTGCCAAATATTGAGCTATCTATGCAGAGTTTTCAAAAGGGATCAGTGACAGAGGGATGGCTGAAGCATGTATGTTTCCCTTAGGATACATTATCTGTGGGGAAAGGGAGGAGGCCCTGTTGTTTCGCCCCAGTTAAACACCACCAAGGGTATGCTGCAGCCTTCTGGCAGAGATTCAGAGTGGGGGGGGGAGGGGGATTAGCACCTGACTGCAGTTTTTCATTCCACCTGAAACAACTTGTATTGATCTAAAATATTTATATGCCACTTTTCCATCAGACCCAACTAATTTAAAGTCCTGAAATTATCTCAGTTCCCCCTCCGTCTTATTTTGGAAGTTGTCTAAGCCTCGTCCCAGTGAGTGTGGTGCAATGCACAATCTAAGGGTTATCTCAGTTCCCCCTCCGTCTTATTTTATCATCCGATTCGATTTTGGAAGTTGTCTAAGCATAGTCCCAGTGAGTGTGGTGCAATGCACACTCTAAGTGACGACTAAATAACTTGCTGCCTTGTGCAGAGTGTTTTGGCATTTCATAACCCCTCAACTGCCCTGCACAGAAGTGGCTGCGCTCATCAAAAGCAAGGCCATGCACCGTGGTGTTAAAGCTGCATCACAAAGGGGTTCTTAGAGTGTTTTGGCATTTCATAACCCCTCAGCTGTCCCTGCACAGAAGTGGCTGCGCTCATTAAAAGCAAGGCCATGTACCGTGGTGTTAAAGCTGCGTCACAAAGGGGTTCCTGCAAAATGTCCAACATGACAGGTATTTTTTTCACGTGGCTAGGTGACTGTCAATTTCATGTTGGCTTCAGTGCGAAGCCAGGCCACTTTAAAATGGACAGTGGTCCAGATCTTAAGATCTCTGTTGATTTACAGTAGTGTCTAGAGGAGAGCCTGCCATTCACCTAGATATGTTCTTGTTCCCCAGTAAGGTGTTGAAAGATGTGCACAGGCATCAGCTAAATCTTGAGCTAGGCAGCTTCACCAGTGGTAAGGTGATAAGTGGACAGGAGGAGTCCCTAAGCTTACACCACCCACAATGGATATAATAGGTAGCTCTTGCAAAATAACTTCTGATAGATAGAGGACCCTTCCCCCCCCCCCAAATTTTAATGATGTTTCTAATTTCTAAGAGTTCCTCACATATAACTGACTGTGTTCTGTATACCATATTTTTAAAATAAACTATTTCCTATGGTCGGTTACACAGCAGAGGAGCTGTTTTTAAAAAGCTAATTCTTCATGAGGGAGGTACATATGGGATGCATCCATGTGGGTGTGTGGGTTCTTACAAACAGTACCTCTGCATAGCCATAAACGTGGGCAGTAGACCCTGTACTCTCCCAAAGGAACCATGTAGAAGTCACCATAGGTGTCAACACCCCAGCACTGTGTTTCAGAGAGTTTATTTTGCTGATAATTGAGTTAAGACACTTGCATTTTTACTGTCTCTATGTGTTCTCCCCCCCCCCCTTTTCCCAGTCATGGATGCCTGCAGAACCTAGCAGATTTCTTTCAATGCAGATGCTTTGGAATGCTGAAGCCCAACATAGTTGACTGGACTAAGCAGTATACACTAACATTTCATTCAGCGAAAGAGAAAAACATTCATCCTGTGTGAAGAAAACCTGTACCAAATACTTTTGGCTTCAGCTAGAAGCTTAAACAAATAGTTGAATTTGGCAGATTGTATGGTTTGTTCTGAAATAGCCTTTATTGCATTATTGCTGTATTTGTGTAGGGGCGTGAAGTTTGCATGCATAAATTGCGGCAAACTGGGTACTGTGTTGATGGCAGCAGTTTGTGTATGAAATTTTCAAATAATTTTATTTGGAAGGAAATACAACTGTGAAATGTCATTTTTGAAGTTGTTAATGAGATGTGTTTTTATAAAGCAACTCAGAAATCCTATGCATTGTTGTTTATATAAGTCCAACTACCAAAATTGCACTTCATGGTTAAGAGAAATAAAGGATGTTTTGAAATTTCAAAATATTTTAGTATGTGAAACCTGATTTGTAACTTGTAATTACTTATCTGTCTCTCTGATGTATAAATCTGTATATAAAGGCTGTTTAGAGTTATATTCATGTGCACATTTATTAAATTAGAACTGGGCTTTTTTGTATTTAAAGTGTAGTTACTTTCAGGGGAAATTACATTTTCAAATCAGTTAACTAAATAACTGAGGCTAAGGCCCTGATATGACTGAAATGTTTCTCTCAGTTCTGCACACACATTTAGAAACAAACGGATGAGGATGGAATATGGATTCTCAGAATGCACTAATTTGCAGAACTCAGCTTGGGGTTGTAAAAAGTCCTCTGCCTTAAAACTGAAAAGACTGTGACTCTGCAAGGCATACAGCTGTAACCTGATAGTCACATTTCACGGTGGGCTTGACACACAACGAGAGTTCCAGGGCACCCTGCTGTGAGTTTCATGCCAAAGGAGAACAGAGCAAAGGTCACATTGAAGAATAGAAGATAAAAATTAGTAAACAGAAGGGGCGCAAAATGTGGTGTAGGCTTGGGTGAGTGTGAAATAAGGTAAATATAGAATTCCTGCAGTTATATCTTGTGTACAATTGGATTTATTTAGCCTACTATGTGGTATATTCATTTACTTTTTATTGAATATACAGCATGATTTGAACTAATGTTGTTTTCACTTTTATTTCTACTAGTCCGGTCCTGCTGGAAATATTTTTCTTTCAAATGCCGACATACTACCAAAATTACATTATAAAAATTACAATTGCTTTCCATTTTGTGACAAATTACTTATTTAAAGCAAAGAGGGTAGATTTCAAAGTCAGGATTGTGAACCACATCAGAGTCCACTGTTGGAAGCACCTGAAAAAGAATAAGTTGTAATCAAAGAATATAATATTTTCCTCTACATCTGTAATTAGTTTAAGAAAAAAAATCCAACAGTAAATTTAGAAGCAGTAGGTATTCAGCAGTACCCTTGTTTACACCTGCTTGGAAATAAGATGGGGAATGACAGGATCAGAGGGAATTTTTCTGTAGTCTCCTAAGTGAACTTGCTTATAATGATAGCAAAAACATCTTTTGTGATCATCACAAACTATTTTGACATTATAGTTGAATGCCTTTATTTCATGACATACCAGCACCATATATTGAATGTGCCATTTTGTTTAAAAAAAATCTACAGAGTGTAAAATAGATATTGAGTTCCATTTAGATACATTAGCATAAAAATAATAACCTTCAGGGTATGTTCTGTATGTAATTATCTTTGGGGTATAGCGAGCAGAACTATCATTCTGTTTTGTTTCAAAACAAATAACAATACTGAAATTATTTGTGAATATTTCAGACTTTTAGTCATTAGTCTGTGTATTTTGTGTTCAGAACTGAAACAGTTTTAGACCAGCCATCAAGAAATGCTTTCCTGCACTAAAATATACTACAAAAACAGTGTAAGAAGTAGGCTTATTAATTTTTCCAATGAAATGAAAAAAGTGTTCCTAGTAGCCCTCTTAGTTTTGCATTGCTGTTTAGGCCTCAGTGGGAAAGAGCTTATTCTTGCTTCTCAACTTGAGTGAGGCCACCAAATCCAATTCCTTTAGGTCCAAAATTCTTTGCATAGCAAACTGCAAAAGAAATAGAAATGTGTTATATTTTAGCTGCATCTATAATAGTCTAGCTTTATCTGCATCGCTTTAGCTGCATCACTAAGCAAACCATAAATACAGACAGTAGTGTTGTTACTCTCATACCCCACCAAGGCATTTTAGACTTTCTTATCACTGTAGACATGGCCTCAGAAAAGTCAAAAGTAAGTAGCCTCGAGACATACCACCAGAACTGCTGTAATGCACATGAGAACATTTGGGTATAACTTGCAGGCATCTATTGAATAATAACTATTATATATTGCACTGTATTTCTCCCCAGCTTTTTAAAAATAAATATATATATATGGAAGAATGGGTGCATCTCCCTGTCTGTGCTTGTAGACTTTTGAAAGGTGGGAGGGGGAATTGCAACCTTTTCCTTAGTCAAGGAACTGACTTAAATCAGAAGTAGCTTTGAATGATCTTGTCAACTGTACATCTGGAGTTCTATGAGAGTAGAGTGGAGCTGCAATAAGAGTTTCACCTGTCTTAGTGAGAATGCGTCCTTCATTCTACCCTGTCCTACTTTCACTGTTTGCAAATTTATTATGCTATGATGATCAGATCTAGTGCCCCAATAGCAGGAATAACCAATTTCTATGCCAGTCTTTTGGTACTGTCAGTTTTGTCATTTGTTGGCGGGAAAGGATACTCTCAGGTTTCAGTACTTCCTGTTTCCCAACATTCAAGTGGTCCAAGTGGACATTATTAGTCAACTTTTTGACAATATGACTGCACCTTCCAGTCCTGAATGCTTTCCTTCCAACAACATCTTTCTGAGCATGCTGGATGAAATCTAGAAGGATAAAGCTACAAGTGGAAAACCTATTTCTACAGATGAATTACCACTGCTGCACTGAAGAACAGGTATTTAGAGTGAGGTAGGTAAACTGCAGTCTAGGTGTATCTCACATTTGTGAGATTCAAGTGTGTATATGTAGACTAGATAGAGAATCAAAAACCCTCCTCTGAGGATGGACAGTATGTATGGTAGCTCTTCTTGACAGGCAGTACAATCTTAGAAGAGTCAAACCCTTCTAAGCTCATTTTATGTATTTGAAACATTCATTAGCTGCCTTTCTACCTTGCTGCGTCCAAGGCAGCTAACAATATAAATAAATCAACCTTTATAAAACATAAAAGACAACAGTTTGAATTCTTCAATGGGCTTAAAAGGATATAAGTGCTTAGGAACACACTGTATATTAATTTACTCCAAAAGAGAATTTGGACAGTCTAGATTCATAAAAGAACTGGTTCTGTGGTTTTGCTTTGGAATACTGGAATTAAAAATTCTTTAATTGATTTTGGGTTTTTTTGCGAAAGCATCAATATTTTAAATATACTCTTAGAATTTGGGTTAATTGGAAGACAGATACAATTAGCATTGCAACAGAACAAAAACTTGCTAGTCTTTAATATAAAGGAGAATACGTAATGTTTATAATACGTTATTAAAAGTGTCACATTGCAGTTTGGTTCCAAAAATCTGTTTCTCCAGTCAGCAATACTGATACAGGGTTGTTGTTTTTAATATAGTGGTTTAGTATAGAGGAGCTGCGGTGGCTCAAGTGGTTAAGATGCTGAACTGTAGGCTGTGGAAGGTCGGTAGTTCAGCAGTTCGAGACCCGAGTGTGCCGCATTACAGAGTGAGCTCCCGTCTCTAGTTCCAGCTCCTGCCAACCTAGCAGTTCGAAAGCAAGAAATTGCAAGTAGATAAATAGGTACCACTTCAGTGGGAAGGTAACAGCATTCCGTGCGCCTTGGTGTTTAGTCATGCCGCCCACATGACCACGGAAATGTCTTCGGACAGCGCTGACTCTTCGGCTTTGAAACGGAGATGAGCACCGCAACCCTAGAGTCGGACTCGACTGGCTTTCGAGCAAGGGAACCTTTACCTTTTACTTTCCGAACAGAATATACCATGGCTGCACAGAGGGCCAAATTATACTTAACATTAAATGTGTCTGCTTTCAAAAATAGGATCCACACATCTGGCTCTCCGGCCATAATCTCCTCTGTAGGCATCTGGTACAATTTACCTTGGGTCCAGCCATCCCAATATTCTGCGTTCCACAGCCTCAGTTCCAGCAGGTTTGTTCTACTAGATCATGATGCTATTGAGGAGGAACCATACACATCGCTGCCATGTTTGACAGCAACTGCAAGTTCAGCATTACGTTTAGCTTGGCCCTCAGCTTTTCCTCATGGGGCTGATATTTCTAGTTGGTGAGCAGTGAAACACAAGGAAATTAGCTCCCAAATATGTACCACTTTGTTCTATAAAGTAGATGTATATGGTGTGTTTAAGGAGTGATGGCTGCAGCATCTGCCCTTCATCGGCAGCTTTCATCTGGTCCAAATGACGTGGCAGATCTGGGATTGCATCGCCTGACTTCTTAAAATTTTAATATCAACAGTCTGCATTTAATCGAAGAAGCAGTGCTGAGTGATGATGTGCTTAACACTTTCCTCATACCATTTTCCTGAGCCAAATTTCCCACCTCAAGCCACAGCTCTGATAAAAATTGGAGCCTTCACCCACTGCCTGCTTTAAAATGTCATAAATATTTGGAGATCTAGTTAAGGTTCTCCCACAAAAGCAAAGACAAGAACTACAGGACTAGCACTCCTTGAAAAAGAACGTATTTTCTGCACCTGTTACAAGTCTTCAAGAGGTATACTAATGTACTGGTATCTTAATAAACTTTTCTTGAATTATAGTTTCAGTACACTGTACCACACTTGCCTTTACAGTAAATCTCTCCATCTTTATCTGTAACGTTTGTAGATTCTAGACTCTTTCCACAGAAAGCACATCGAAAGCATGTCTTGTGCCAGGGCTGAAAAATCAAAGCAAAAAATTGTTTCCAAAAAAAATCGTAATACAGCTTTACATTTACATTTGTTCTGTTTAATCAATTAGTAGAAGAAAAAAATTAGCTGGGAAAATTATACTAATCCCATTGGATGCCATACTCTCTGCAAAATTATTATAGGTCTGGTATAGGAAGTCTGGTATGAAAAATATATACAGATGTGTGCTAGATGCCCACAGAACAATACAACAATGAAAGACTACATTAAAGCCATACTTTGGCAGCAACATCAGCACGCTTGGAAATAAGGGAGGAGACCTTGCCCAAATAGCCTAACAGAAAAGTAAATCAATGAAAGTGTCAACTTGAATGTTCCTGAGGAAAGACCAGAGGTCTGAAACACTTAGATATCCGGAAAAACTGTTGACTGAAAGAGAGACACAGATTGATTGAGTTTGGAGCAGACTGCTTTTGTGAATT